TACTGTTGCCCTGCTCATATCAAGTGCAGCAGGACTAATAATACTGTTCATGTTTTCATTATCATCAGCATCAGGACTAATATTACTGTTCCCTGTTCATTATCAGTATAGCAGGACTAATAATAATGTGTCCTGTTCATTATCAGCGCAGGACTAATAATAAGGTTCCCTCTTCATTATCGCAGTCATCAGGATAATAACTAATGTTTCCCTGTTATGATCAGCATCATCAGACTAAATACTGTTCACCTAGTGCATTATCAGCTCATCAGGCAATAATAATACTGTTCCTGCGTCATTATTCAGTAGAAGCAGGACTCATACTTACTGTTCCCTGTCCATTAGCATTCGCATTCCAGGACTAATAATATGTTCCCTGTTCATTATCAACAGCAAGCAGGACTTAATAAATTTGTTCTATTCATATCAGCATATCAGGACTAACTATACTGTTCCAAGCTTATATCAGGCATCATAGGAATAATAAACTGTTCCATGTTCAGTAATAACATATCAGGGACTAATAATTACTGTTCCCTGTTCATTATCAGCAGCAGGACTAATAATATGTTCCTGTTTATTATCAGCAGAAGGACTAATAATACTGTTCCTGTTGCATTTAAGAGCCAGCAGAGTAATAATACTGTTTCCTGTTCATATCAGTAGCAGCAGCACTAATAATACTGTTAATACTCAGAATAATCGGGAACTAATAATTACTGTTCCTGTTCTTATTCAGTAGCAGCAGGACTAATAATACTGTCCTGTTCATTATCAAATGCATCAGGACTAAAATACTGTTTCCCGGTAATTATCAGCAGCACCAAGAAGCAGGAAAATAATACGTTCATGTCATTATCAGTAGCAGCAGATTAATTAATATGTTACCTGTTCATGATAAAATGCATCAGGACTAATATTACGTTCCCTGTCATTATCAGCATCATAAGGGACTTAATATTACGGTCCCTGTTCATATCATTATATCAGGGGACTAATAATTACGTTCCCTGTTCATTATCAGATAATCAGGACGAATAATACTGTTCCCTGGTCATTTATCAGTTAGCAGCGGACTAATCAGTACTGTTCCTGTTCATTATCATTATCATCAGGACTAATAATTAAGGTTCCCTGTTCATTTCAGACATCATCAGGAACTAATTAAGACTGTGCCCTTTTCATTTATCATTATCATCAGGATAATAATACTGTTCCCTGTTCATTATCAGAATCCATCGGATAATAATACCGGTTCCCTGGTTCAATGAACATTATCATAGGGACTATAATACTGTTCCATGTTCATTTATCGTGATCATCAGGGACTAATTAATGACTGTTCCCTGTTAATATCAGTAGCGCAGGATATAATAACTTTTCCGTTCATGATAATAATATCAGGACTAATATAATGTTCCTGTCATTATCCGTCGCAGCAGGACTAATTAATACTGTCTGTTCTTATCAGCAGCAGACTAATAATACTGTTCCATCTTAATTATCTGCCTCACAGGACTAATATACTGTTTCACTGTCAGTAGCAGCATCCTCAGGAAGACTAATAATACTGTTCACTGTCATTATCAGCATCATCAGGACTAATAATAAGTTCCCTGTTCATTATCAGTCGCAGCAGGAAATAATACTGTTCCCTGTTCATTATCATTATCATCGGACTAATAATACGTTCCATGTCATGATCAAACACAGCAGGATAATAATACTGTTCATGTTCATTATCAGCTCATCAGGGACTATAATACTGTTCCCTGTTCATATCGCATTCATCAGGACTAATAATACTGTTCCCTGTTCATTATCAGTAGCAGCAGGACTAATAATACTGTTCCCTGTTCATTATCATTATCATCAGGACTAATAATACTGTTCCCTGTTCATTATCAACAGCAGCAGGACTAATAATACTGTTCCCTGTTCATTATCAGCATCATCAGGACTAATAATACTGTTCCCTGTTCATTATCAGTAGCAGGACTAATAATACTGTTCCCTGTTCATTATCAGCATCAGGACTAATAATACTGTTCCCTGTTCATTATCAGTAGCAGGACTAATAATACTGTTCCCTGTTCATTATCAGCATCATCAGAACTAATAATACTGTTCCCTGTTCATTATCAGTAGCAGCAGGACTAATAATACTGTTCCCTGTTCATTATCTGCATCATCAGGACTAATAATACTGTTCCCTGTTCATTATCAGTAGCAGCAGGACTAATAATACTGTTCCCTGTTCATTATCTGCATCATCAGGACTAATAATACTGTTCCCTGTTCATTATCATCATCATCAGGACTAATAATACTGTTCCCTGTTCATTATCAGCATCATCAGGACTAATAATACTGTTCCCTGTTCATTATCATCATCATCAGGACTAATAATACTGTTCCCTGTTCATTATCAGTAGCAGCAGGACTAATAATACTGTTCCCTGTTCATTATCAGTAGCAGGAGGATTTTTGTGTCATATCTGCTGCTCTCTCACAGCCAGGGAGGTATATGTCAGAATATCCACCTAATGAAGTCCCCTATGCCCCCTCTCACCCCTCCTCACCCCCTCTAACCATCCTTGCTGCATCTCGTTGTCTCTCCCTGACCTTCACCCCATCTCACCCTTCTCTCTTCCTCTCTTCCTCACCGGCTAACTGCCCCCTCACCCCTCTGCCCCCCCCCCCCTTACCCCCCCCCCCCCCTCACCGGCTCGCTTCCCCTTCACCTCTCTGCCCCCCCCCCCTTACCCCACCCCCCCTCACACCGGCTCGCTGCCCCCTCATCCCTCTGCCCCCCCTCACCAGGCTGTTACTATGACAACCACCAGATTCCAACCACAGCATCACAACCAAAGCTTCCTTCCCTCTCTTGATTTAGAGCACATGCTTTGATCACAAACCATCACATGTTCACAGATTAATCACATAATGTGTGACTTCTTGTTAAAGCGTCATTATATTGTAGAACCTCTTTCTCTGACATCGCTGATTCTGTGGCGGTATATTAGCCTACCTCCAACCTCACACTCCCACACACAATAATCACACTTTAGGCCGGTTAGACCCAGATTAAGCCTAGTCCTGGCCCCATTGGTTTGTAGTCTTGGACTTGGCTTAAAGCAACTGTCCAGTCAAAATACTCACTTTTAAAAAGTTTGTATTCTGTTAACTCATACCCAAATAATGTTGTTGACTCATCCTATACTCGTATTTGTGGCCATAGCATGAATAGGAGAAAAAAAAAACACTTCAAAAACCCCACCTCAAACTTTTATCTCACAGAGACCATTTAAAAAATACTATTTCCTCATAGAGGATGTTCTACTCCTGAGTAGGACGAGCTGGCCAATCAGTGGTCTAGTGGAGGATGAGCTGGCCAATCATCGGTCTAGAGTAGGATGAGCTGGCCAATCAGCGGTCTAGAGTAGGATGAGCTGGCCAATCAGTGGTCTAGAGCAGGGGTTCGCGCGAGGGGTCGGCAGGGGGGCATTTATAGGATTTTTAGCCCATATATATTGTTGTAATTTTTTTGTCACTCAAATATCACATGAATACACATTAGACATGGCAAAATGTATAGAATTGCAAGAAAAGTAGGTTTAAAACTGCAAAAAAAATGTACACCCCATGACAAAATGTGTAGAATTGCTTTAAACCTGCAAAATTCTCTCCACCAACAAGAGGGATGTGAAGAGTTTGTACCATGAAATAAACATGGCGCTGATGATGTAAGAGGATGTTCACCAATGCTGGAAGACTAGAGGAGGATGAGCTGGCCAATCAGCGGTCTAGAGGAGGATGAGTTGGCCAATCAGTGGTCTAGAGGAGGATGAGCTGGCCAATCAGCGGTCTAGAGGAGGATGAGCTGGCCAATCAGCGGTCTAGAGGAGGATGAGCTGGCCAATCAGCGGTCTAGAGGAGGATGAGCTGGCCAATCAGTGGTCTAGAGGAGGATGAGCTGGCCAATCAGCGGTCTAGAGGAGGATGAGCTGGCCAATCAGCGGTCTAGAGGAGGATGAGCTGGCCAATCAGCGGTCTAGAGGAGGATGAGCTGGCCAATCAGCGGTCTACTCGCATTAAGATTTTTTATGACCGATATACGCGCATACCATTCTGTTGTTGGGGTACGCGCATACCATTCTGTTGTTGGGGTACGCGCACACCATTCCAACAGAGAAAAGCTGCTTTTTAACATATTAAATACCATTTTTTGGAAGGAAAAGTCTTTCACTCATATTGTAGGTAATTATAGGTCATATTTCATTGAAATCTGAAAACACTGGACAGATACTTTAATCATGTCTAGGACTAGGTTCAAACTTGGTATGACAATGACCACAGCTGGCAAGACTGCACCAACATATCTATCACTCACCCTCAGTGTGGGAGTATCCCTCTGTTAGGGTTAAAGGTCAGGGATCAGATTCACCCTCAGTGTGGGAGTATCCCTCTGTTAGGGTTAAAGGTCAGGGATCAGACTCACCCTCAGTGTGGGAGTATCCCTCTGTTAGGGTTAAAGGTCAGGGATCAGACTCACCCTCAGTGTGGGAGTATCCCTCTGTTAGGGTTAAAGGTCAGGGATCAGACTCACCCTCAGTGTGGGAGTATCCCTCTGTTAGGGTTAAAGGTCAGGGATCAGATTCACCCTCAGTGTGGGAGTATCCCTCTGTTAGGGTTAAAGGTCAGGGATCAGACTCACTCTCAGTGTGGGAGTATCCCTCTGTTAGGGTTAAAGGTCAGGGATCAGACTCACCCTCAGTGTGGGAGTATCCCTCTGTTAGGGTTAAAGGTCAGGGATCAGATTCACCCTCAGTGTGTGAGTATCCCTCTGTTAGGGTTAGGGTTAAAGGTCAGGGATCAGACTCACCCTCAGTGTGTGAATATTCCTCTGTTAGGGTTAGGGTTAAAGGTTAGGGATCAGACTCACCCTCAGTGTGGGAGTATCCCTCTGTTAGGGTTAAAGGTCAGGGATCAGACTCACCCGCAGTGTGTGAATATCCCTCGGCGGTGACCTTCCATTGGATGAGGACCCCCAGCAATGCCAGGACAGGCCACACCCCCATGATGACCCAGGTGAACCAGCAGAGAGGACGGGGCGGAGCCACCTTGATCCTCTCCAATATGTATCTGTAATATCATATAGTCAAGGAATAAGAGGGGGTGTATGTTGGCCAAACCCCTGAGCTACCTTATTGCTATTTTAAACTGGTTACCAACATAAATAGAACAGTATGTATTTTTGCGTCATACCCGTGGTATATTGTCTGATATACACAGGGTTGAAATGCTGTGTCAGCCAATCAGCATCAGGGACTCAAGCTACCCGGTTTATAATATGCACTTGCCTATAATTGTAAAAGAAGGTTCAGGACGGCAGTTTAATTCCCTTCAAAAGCTGAACATTCTTTCACAATCCTAGGACTAAGCAGACTCCTTCAGCGGTCTAGACAACTTCTGAAATCTTGGTTAGAGCACCACCACACCACAGACAGTATAATCTATGCTCTTTAGACAGTTTTTTCCCAAAGCCACTTACAGTAGTGCGTGCCTACATTTGCATACATTTGCATACATTTTCATACGGGTGGCCACCGTGGAAATCGAATTTCATATGGGTGGCCCCACGATCCTGGCGTTGGAAGCACCACGCTCTACCAACTGAGCCACAGAGGAGACGAGAGAAGAGGAGGAGAGGTGAGGGGTGAGGAGAGGTGTGGGGTGAGGAGAGGAGGGGTGAGGAGGTGAGGGGTGAGGAGGTGAGGGGTGAGGAGAGGAGGGGTGAGGAGGTGAGGGTGAGGAGAGGAGGGGTGAGGAGGTGAGGGGGAGGGTGAGGAGAGGAAGGGGGAGGAGAGGAGGGGGGGTGAGGGGGAGGGCTGAGGAGGGGGGGGAGAGGAGGAAGGGTGAGGAGGGAGGGGTGGTAGAGAGGGGGGGTGAGGAGAGGGAGAGGGGTGAGGGGTGAGGAGAGGAAGGGAGGAGGGTGATGGGTGAGGAGGGAGCGGGGAGGAGGTGAGGGGTTGAGGGGGGTGAGGAGGGAGGGTGAGGAGGTGAGGGTGAGGGGAGGGGGGGGGGGGGGGGGGGGGGGGGGGGGGGCGGGAGGGTTGAGGAGAGGAGGGGGGGGTGAGGGGGGGAGAGGGGTGAGGAGAGGAGGGGGAGGAGGGGGAGGGGGAGGGAGAGGGGTGGGAGGGGGAGGGGTGAGGAGGTGGTGAGGGGGGTGGAGGGGGAGGGTGAGGAGGGAGGGGGTGAGGAGGGAGGGGTGGGGGGTGAGGGGTGAGGAGGGGGGTGAGGAGAGGAGGGGGGTGGAGGGGTGAGGAGAGGAGAGGGTGAGGTGAGGATGGTGAGGGGTGTGAGGAGAGGAGGGGGTTGAGGGCGGGGTGAGGGTTGAGGAGGTGAGGAGAGGAGGGGGAGGGGGTGAGGGGTGAGGAGAGGAGGGGTGAGGGGGTGTGGTGCGTGCGTGAGGGGTGAGGGGATGAGGAGAGGAGGGGTGAGGAGGTGAGGGGTACGGAGGAGGAGGGGTGAGGGGGGGAGTGAGGGAGGGACGCGGGGGGAGGGGCGTGAGGGAGAGGAGGGGTGAGGGGTGAGGGGGTGAGGGGTGAGGAGAGGAGGGGTGAGGAGGTGAGGGGTGAGGAGAGGTGAGGGGTGAGGAGGTGAGGGGTGAGGAGAGGAGAGAGCACTAACTACAGCACCAACATACCTGACCAGAGCGAACAGCTCGAGGAAGTAGTCCACAGTGACGGTGATGACAGCGGAACCAAACACAGCGGTGGAGAGGGTGGTGAAGAAGCGCTGCCATTGGAGGGTGAGGACAGCGAACAGCATGCCTGACCCCAACAACACCCCCAGGGGCAGCCACACCGTCCGGGGGTGGTGGAATTCCTCCATCACTACCTGCATGGGGATTCAATCAATCAATCAATCAATCAATCAAATTAACTTTATTGTCCCCATAAGGAAACTTGGTATGCAAGCAGGGTTAACGTGAACATAACATTCACGTTATTATTAGGAACACCTTCCTAATATTGAGTTGCACCCCCCTTTTGCCCTCCGAACAGCATCAATTCATCGGGGCATGGATTCTACAAGGTGTCGAAAGCATTCCACAGGGATGCTGGCCCATGTTGACTCCGATGCTTCCCACAGTTGTGTCAAATTGGCTGGATGTCCTTTGGGTGGTGGACCATTCTTGAAACACACAGGAAACTGTTGAACGTGAAAAACCCAGCAGTGTTGTAGTTCTTGACACACTCAACCCGGTGCACCTGGCACCTACTACCATACCCCGTTCAAAGGCACTTAAATCTTTTGTCTTGCCCATTCACCCTCTGAATGGCACACGTACACAATCCATGTCTCAATTGTCTCAAGGATTAAAAATCCTTCTTTAACCTGTCTCCTCCCCCTTCATCTACACTGACTGAAGTGGTTTTAACAAGTGGCATCAATAAGGGATCATAGCTTTCACCTGGATTCACCTGGTCAGACTATGTCATGGAAAGAGCAGGTGTTCCCAATGTTTTGTCCACTCACTGCATTCACGTTAACTCAGTGTACACAGAGTGTATAAAAAATAGATTTGTGTGGTTACGGGATATGGACGTTTATCACAAACTAGGCAACAGGGCCCATATTCATAAAGCATATCAGAGAAGGAGTGGTGATCTAGGATCAGTTTAGCCTTTTAGATCATAAGGAACAATATAATCCTAGATCAGCACTCCTATTCTGAGATGCTTGATGAATATGACCCTGAACTTTATAGATCTAAATCTAATCTAAATCTATTATTATTATTATTATTATTATTATTCAAAATAATTCTTACAAGTGAGGCGATACCCAGCAGTAATCCCAGCAGCAGCCCCACCATGAAGAGTCCCACAGAGCGCACCAGCATGGTGACCAGGCCACAGAGGGTACCGATGCCCAGGCCGATGCCCACCGAGGCCTCCACACTCAGCTGGGTGTCCAAGACACGCTCCTTATAACACAGCAGAAAGATGACGACGGAGCCAAACATCAAGCCTGTTAGGAACATCACCGCCTTGAAACAACGGTAGCCTGAGAGGAGGACAGGAGAGAGAGAGAGAGAGAGAGACAGGAGACAGGTTAGAGAACATCACCGCCTTGAAACAACGGTAGCCTGAGAGGAGAGAGAGAGAGACAGGAGACAGGTTAGAGAACATCACCGCCTTGAAACAATGGTAACCTGAGAAGAGGACAGGAGAGAGAGAGAGAGACAGGAGACAGGTTAGAGAACATCACCACCTTGAAACAACGGTAGCCTGAGAGGAGAGAGAGAGAGACAGGAGACAGGTTAGAGAACATCACCGCCTTGAAACAACGGTAGCCTGAGAAGAGGACAGGAGAGAGAGAGAGAGACAGGAGACAGGTTAGAGAACATCACCACCTTGAAACAACGGTAACCTAGAGAGGAGAGAGAGAGAGACAGGAGACAGGTTAGAGAACATCACCGCCTTGAAACAACGGTAACCTGGAGAGGAGAGAGAGAGATAGGAGACAGGAGACAGACAGACAGGTTAGAGCCTGCAGGACAGACAGACAGGTTAGAGTCTGCAGGACAGACAGACAGACAGGTTAGAGTCTGCAGGACAGACAGACAGATTAGAGCCTGCAGGACAGACAGACAGGTTAGAGCCTGCAGGACAGACAAACAGGTTAGAGCCTGCAGGACAGACAAACAGGTTAGAGCCTGCAGGACAGACAGACAGGTTAGAGCCTGCAGGACAGACAGACAGATTAGAGCCTGCAGGACAGACAGACATGTTAGAGCCTGCAGGACAGACAGACAGGTTAGAGCCTGCAGGACAGACAGACAGACAGGTTAGAGCCTGCAGGACAGACAGACAGACAGATTAGAGCCTGCAGGACAGACAGACATGTTAGAGCCTGCAGGACAGACAGACAGACATGTTAGAGTCTGCAGGACAGACAGACAGGTTAGAGCCTGCAGGACAGACAGACAGGTTAGAGCCTGCAGGACAGACAGACAGGTTAGAGTCTGCAGGACAGACAGACAGGTTAGAGCCTGCAGGACAGACAGACAGGTTAGAGCCTGCAGGACAGACAGACAGGTTAGAGTCTGCAGGACAGACAGACAGGTTAGAGCCTGCAGGACAGACAGACAGGTTAGAGCCTGCAGGACAGACAGACAGGTTAGAGCCTGCAGGACAGACAGACAGATTATAGCCTGCAGGACAGACAGACATGTTAGAGTCTGCAGGACAGACAGACAGGTTAGAGCCTGCAGGACAGACAGACAGGTTAGTTAGAGCCTGCAGGACAGACAGACAGGTTAGAGTCTGCAGGACAGACAGACAGGTTAGAGCCTGCAGGACAGACAGACAGGTTAGAGCCTGCAGGACAGACAGACAGGTTAGAGTCTGCAGGACAGACAGACAGGTTAGAGCCTGCAGGACAGACAGACAGGTTAGAGCCTGCAGGACAGACAGACAGGTTAGAGCCTGCAGGACAGACAGACAGATTATAGCCTGCAGGACAGACAGACATGTTAGAGTCTGCAGGACAGACAGACAGGTTAGAGCCTGCAGGACAGACAGACAGGTTAGAGCCTGCAGGACAGACAGAC